CCCATAAAGAAGGCTCTCAGGGCTATCTTTTGTATGTGTGCCAAGACAGCTAAGAAGGTAAAGAAGATAGAGAGGCGTCAGAAGGAAGATTGGATTGCAGTAGGCAAGGATGTCTCTGACATTTCTGATGATGAGGAGTTTGTTGATCCTTTTGCTGCTTATGAGACTGCTCGAGACATTGCTAGTGGTGAGGGTCCCTCTGGCACTTCTCGTTTCTTCAATGAGGAGTCCTCTCACTCCGAGGAGAGCAGTGATGATGAGGAGTCCGATGCACCTACTGAGAATGTACCTACAGATCCAGATGAGGCAGTGGATGCCACCGGGCAAGACATCGACTCTCCTCACTCCGGCGACACCGATATCATTCCTTCTAATGGCGATGATGATGAGGCTTGATCCTCTTCTTTCCTTGTGATTTTGTCTCTTTTTGGTGCCTTGATGCCAAAGGGGGAGAAAATTGCAATCGAAGGGGGTCAAAATTTTGTTTTTGATGCTTGCTGCCTGCTCTGTCTGTTTAATCCGGAAGTTCCGGATCCTCTTATCCGGAAATTCCGGACCTGGCAGCTCCCTCGCTTTATATTCATGTCAGCTTATCCGGAAGTTCCGGGTATTTTATCCAGAAGTTCCGGACCTGGCAGTCCTTTGGCCTCTACTCTTAAGATCTTATGGACATGTAATAATTCTCTATTTGTGTGGATGTAATAACTGTTAGATGCTCTTAGCTGCTCTTTATTTATACAGCACTTCATTTATGCTATGAGTGTCTTATTTGTTGTTTGTGATGTGATGTTGATTTTATCCTTTTGAGTGCTCATCATGTCGTATCTTTTGCATATCATATCTATTCTTACTGCTTATTTGCATCCCACGAATGAGTAGAGATGAAGGAAACTCTCTTCGGTTGCTCCCATTAATATATGCATATGAGCTTCTCTCATATATTATATATGCATACACTAAGGAGGAGTTTCATTCACCTCTAACCATCCAAAACAAAATTCTTATCAATCTTTTGTAAGCTTTAACCATGTTGTCATCAATCACCAAAAAGGGGGAGATTGAAAGTGCATTAATCTCCCTAGTGGGTTCTGGTGATTAATGACAAATGTGGTTAAGGGACTAATGAGTTCATTGAATGACTTTCAGGTGCATTAGTCCAAGGTGTGAAAGATGGATGCTTGGAGACCCCCCAAAAGTACAAAATCAAAGCGGACCGGAACTCGAGAAGTGCATAGGATAGTTTATCTTTTGGAATCGGGTTTTTAGAAAAAACCGTACTATTAAGAGGGGTTCCAGGTGATGCTCTGAGATATGTCAAGTGCTCTTAGTGTGAACCAAGTGTCAAGTTTCCCTAGGAGTCATTTTTGCATATACTCCATTTGTCCAAAAGTGCAACTCCGGAACTTCCTGTCTTCCAGGTCTGGAAGTTCCGGTCTTGTGAAAAAGTTTTTCCTAAGTGTAGTCCGGAAGTTCCTGTCTTCCAGGTCCGGAACTTCCTGTCTAGTTTCCAGTTCAAAATTGTGACTAATGGCTAGATGACGTCACCTAGCCGTTATACATATTCAGCTCGTTTCCAGCTCGTTCCTTGGCTATTCCACTTTCACTTTTCAAACCTAAAACTGTTGCTAGCCTCTCCCAAGTGTTTCTTGCCTTCTCCACTCAATCTAGAGCCTAATTCTTGTGAGATAGAGAGATTGAGAGGGAGAGAAGAAGATTTGGAGAGGTGTGAAGCCTAGGATCTTGGGTGAGCACTTGGAATATCTCGTGGGCTGTCATCTTGGTGCTTATTACTCTTGGAAATGATCTCCTAGATGGTTAGGTGTCGCCCGCGAGAATCCGTTGCATATTGTGGATGTACCGGGTAAGTTTGTGAAGGATTTCCTCTCCTCCGAAAGGGAACGAAGTAAGTTAGTGAAGTTCTTGTGCTGAGCTTCTAGAGACTTTCCAAGTAGAGCAACCACACTTGTGGTGGATTTCTAGAAGTAGGTTAAGTTGGATCTTAGTGGTCACTCAATTCTAGAAATTTTCCTAGGGGTGTTTGGGGTTGAAGGCTGTGGATTTTCTCTGGGGTTTTTGCACAAGTGAGGCAAGGGGTTAATCGAGACCCAGCTCTTTGGAGCTCCTCAACGGAGAGTAGGATCGCAAGATCCGAACTTTGGGAAAAAATCGCTCTTGTCTCTTTCTGTGATGTTTCTGTGGATGATTCTGTGATATATCCTCTGCTTAGAATACCTGTGCACCATCTTGTGAAGATTGGCTTAGTCTCCTATTTCAAAATTTGAATTTCATCTCTGTTCTGTTACCGAAAGTTCCTGTCTTAGAACACCGGAAGTTCCGGGCCAGGCAAGCTGGAAGTTCCGAAGTTCCTTACCAGGAAGTTCCGGGTCTGCTTGAATTTTACCGCTGCGATTTGTTTTTAAGTTTTTAGGGACAACCTATTCACCCCCCCCTCTAGGCTTCATCAGCGCGTTCAGTGGTGACCCTTTTGTGCTCGCTGAAGCAACACTACTCCAAGGAGCACGAGGATAAAACCACCATCCAAACCACAAAGGGATTCGATTTATACTGGTTTTAATAGTTGAGGGGATGATCTATACCTGGTTTCTCGATTGAGGGATATAAATGAAACTCGACCTATACTTGATGATGTAGACTTTATTTTAATTTTTTTTTTGAAAAATGGCCGGTCTGTCCTGCCAGCTGAGACGGAGCTGACTATATCACGAATTTTTTCCATTTTAAAATTTTATTTTTTAATATTTACAGAAATATTGTATCGACAAAAAAAATTTACAGAAGTAGGGTGACGTGAGGGATGACAAGAGGAAAATAAAAACTAGAAAAATACAATTTTGGCAGGGCGAAAATTGCATTTGCCCCCTTTAGCCCTTGCAGAGAGTGGCAAGGGACCTCAGTGAAAAATGCATACACCTTGCTGTCCTCCACTTGGACGACAGGGGCCATTTCTGTAAATATTTTGGATGGTATAATATTTATGTAAATATTAAAAAAATAAAAATTTAAAAATGAAAAAAATTCACTATATCGCTCCTTCGCAGCCCATCACACGGCCCACGTCGGGAATATGAAAGGAGTTGGTGAGCCCAATGAGCGGAGGCCCACAATCCACCGACTCTCTCTCTCTCAAGTCTCAACCCCCAACCGCCAGCCCCCCGCGTCGCGGCGCGGCGCGCGTTACCCCACCCGACCCGACCTCGGTTCTCTCTCGCCCAGAGTCAACCTGGGCAAAAGCGGCAGCCACCCACATCGCCATCCGTCTCGCACACCTCCCTCCCTTTGTCGCACATCAGCGCTCCGCTCCACCCCACTAGAGACCGGATGAAACCCCGTACGTCATACCCCTGCAGCCACAGCAGCAGCCTCGCCTCGCGGGCGGTGTGTGCAGGTGCGCCGCGCGGGGCGGTGGCACCTGCCAGGTGTTTCGCCGCCCAACGTAAGCACACCGCGCCGCTCGGTTAGGCGCCCTTTGGAGGACGCCTCCTCGCGTAATCACTTTCCACCGTAGCAGATGGGCCCTGTGGTCATCAACAGAAATTGGGTTCAGCCTCCTCCAAACAAGGTAAAACAAGAAGAAAAAAAAAAGAAGAAAAGGAGTCCCGTGCCGTGGGCCACAGCCATCCAGGCAAAATGCAAACCTCGTTTCTTGGCGTCATCACCGTGAAAAGAAAAGAAAAGTAGTAAAAGATTTGCTGCACCCAGTTTTCGAAACTGAAAAGGGCCTTTTTAAACCAAAAAAGAGGAAATCGCGAGGTCGTCACGGCATCTCCTCCTCCTCGCGTCAGAAACTCACAAAAGCAAAACCCAACCGCACCGCACCGCACCGCACAGCACCGAGGCAACCCCACGAGTCGACGCGTGGGCCCCGCATGTCATACACCTGGTGTGGCACCCTCGCCGAGCGAGCTGGCTGCGGCAGGGGGGCCCCGCATGTCATACACGCGGCGTGCGGCGCGGGGCGCGTGGGTGCTGAGCTGGAGAGGGACCCTGCCACGCCACGGCATCCCTGGACGGAGAGTGTGAGCTCACACTGCGAACAGCTTACGCTACACAAAGAGATGAAGGTATCAAAAAGCGTCGTCGGGTTTGGACCCTGAACGGTTCAGATTTACCTTTGGTGGTTGGCAGGGGTCGTTCCTCTCGTGATGCTAAAAAACCAAAAGGGGAAAAATATAAAGGAATTCGATTTTTCCAATGTTAACCTACTTGTTCTGTTGATTTTCTAACTGGGACATATTATCTTCATATTGATATATTGAAATTCACATCACAAACATAATTAAAACATACGGGATGCAAATTTTGGTAATTCGACATTAAGCATATCGTCTCTCTTTTTTTCACTACCCTAACTCTTATTCTAATTTTTAACAATTCTAAAATAATACTTCCTCTATAAAAAAAACAATCTTAGTTAGGTTCTGCACATACACTATCTAGATTCAAACCTCAAACCCAGTATTGGATTCTTCAGGGGCGGAGGCAGCATTTTAGCAAGAGTAGAGCTGAACCATATAGCTATAAATTTTTTGTGCAGATTCTATGTAAATTTTAGTGTTTCTCCATTGAAAATTTTTGCCATGTGTGGGGCCCAAGCCCAGGTTGCCCCACACGTGGCTCCGCCCCTGGGATTTTTTTTTTGGACGGAGGGAGTACAAATTCAAGTAAATAAAAACGATTACTAAAGTCATAGTAGTAAATGATTATTAGTATTCTTTGACATTGAATAGTAGTAATGTTATTGTGTTAACTTTGTGCGTTGTATCAATTTTCGCATAAGTTGTACGGCAATTGATTATCGCACTATTAAATATTGATAATTGTTTTCTAACATTGTAAAACAAAGAATATATCATAAATATCTATGAATCCGATGATTGTAATTACTTTTATATTTTTCTCACTTTTTCCTAGCATTAGTTTCAATAGCAGTCACACTTTTTTTTTATGAATGTCGTCGCTATAAATAAGACTCTCACCACATAGTACCTTGCCCACTCCGACTAAGCCTTCACATTTCTTCTCTAGCGTTACGCTGTCCCTTCTCTCGGTGATTCCTCGATCTCTCAGGCTACGTTTTGATGGCTTACTGCATCCGCCACTCTCCGGGCCGTTGCCAGTGCTATCCGTCGCCACCTACCACCTTACAACGGTAAGCAGATCTCTCTATGCCTTGCCGTTATTCTCAATCCCCGGAGGTGCCCCTTTTGAACATAGCTCAACTCTCAGGTCATCGTCGGCGACCCACACAGGCAACTTCCATCGAATGGATGAAAGCCCTCGAGTCACGACGGCGCCTCCTCCTCAGCGGCATACCAACAACAGCAGATCTATAGTGGTTATACTCAAATCAGAATCTCCGATAACCGGCTATGTGTAAGTTCATTCCAGATCTATTCATTTTGCGATTCACCCTAGATCTAGAGTCTTCTGCAACCTTTAAGCTCAAAAGTGTTAGATCCACAAATGTGTACTCTATCCGCCCGAAAATATTATAACCTTTGAGTGGATGGGACACTTTCTGCTACTACGAATCTGGACATGTGTTTGTCCAGATTCACAGTATTAGGATGTGTCCCATCCACTCAAATACTGCTATATTTTAGGACGAATGAAAATTATGGTTTATCTAAATCAGCCTTCCTTTTTTTTTTCTTTTTTACAACCATAGGTTGGGCTTGCCCAATCCAAATTCTATACTGCCAGGGACTGTAAGGGAAAACGGGCAGGGCATGGTGCTGCAAATAAACATTCCCCCAGGTACCCCGACGAAAAAAACCCCAACTTTTTATTTCCTGCCGTTTTCTTTTTCTTTTTCTTTCCTTTTCCTTTTTTATTCTCGTCTAGTATTATTTTTGCCTAATATTTCTGGTGGACGGACACGGAGCAGATAGCCAGCAGGAGTCCGTCGCCGTTGGTGGGAACGAGACGGTTGCCGCGCCCGCGCGCGAGATCGGAGCTCCGGGGAGGCGAGGCGCAGGCGCAGGTGGGCGCGTGTTCTTCGTCGGGGGCACCCCGTTCGCGCTCTACCGGGAGGGATCCGCGGGGCGGGGAGTGGTGGGGAACGCCGCGAGCGCAGCCGGGATGGGCGCCGAGGAGGAGGAGGAGCCGGCGTCGGCCGTCGGGAGGGAGGGGGGAGGAGGAGGAGGCGGGGCGAGGGCCGCGGGGGCGGGGGCGGGGGGCGACACCGCCGACGACGACGACAGCGGGGAGAGCGCCGCGGCGGTGGTCCCGTGCTCGATCTGCCTCGACGCGGTGGTCGCCGGCGGCGGGGACAGGTCCACGGCGAGGCTGCAGTGCGGCCACGAGTTCCACCTCGGTGAGTGGCTTTCTGCCTCGAGATCTCCCCCCGCTTCTTCTTCATAATAATAAGAGTTGTTATAAAGCGACGTTTCTTGTTTCTTGGGGCGTTAGAAATTTAGTGGATGAAACAATGGTCGTGAATTCTTGGAAAGGGGTAATTAGGGATTCTTCTATTACCGGTATTACAATTCGGAAAGGTGGAATTTTGGGAATGGATTAGGTTCGGGGAGATGATCAGTGTGTGTGTACGTAATGATTCGACCACATATTTCAAATATGGTAACTTCATAAGATTTACTCTTTAGAAAATATAAGAATTTCTGTATTTGAGTTGCGTACTCTTGGGATTTATGGAAGTTATATGGCCAGTATATGCTCGATTTTGTAATTAAGGTTTGTAATTTGGAAAAGGAGATTTTGGGATGGGATTTAGTGCATTCCGCACCATATTCTGCAATCTTTGTGCAAGTATATGTTCTATGTGCTTCACTACAAGAATTATGTGTCCTAAGGAGAAACATTGCACCTTTCGTTGTTGAATTGAATAATATGAATGCTGCAGCCCCCTTTGGCAGCTTGCTTCAGTGCAATATCATCTTTTGCTTACTCATAAGCAGGTATAGAATCCTGCTATTTGGCAGCACTTAGTGGTGAAGCTGTTCCAAAGGGTTCCCATGTTGCAAGAAAAGCATAAGTTGTCACTTTTGTCGTATCTTCACTGTTTCGGACTGGTGATGAGCTTGGTGTAATTATATGTCGATTTGAAACTTTTCATTGTGCTTCGATATTGTGTTGGAACTTGGTACCTCCATTTCTCTTTTGTGTTTTTGCATAGGATCAGACTTATGGGGAGAATTGGTATCTTGATGATAGAAGCCGGAGATTATGAAGTTCAGTGCACTTACAGGAATATGTTTATGTTTTTTATATACTTGTGTGATCGTTAGGGCACTTGATGTTCATTTACTTATGTGCATACTTTGGTGCCAAGGGTAACCTTTTTGTAAGCTATATAGATATTAGAAAGCTATGCATGTGTCAGTTTGCTGGTAGTTGTGGTTTGGTAGGTTCTTGATAGATCTTTTTTACAAATTGGACTAAGGGATTTGGTAGGTACATACAACTTTTTTTTACAATGTTAAATTTTCTTAAAAATGAATTTGGGCAAACTTAATGGCTGGAAGTTTGAAGATTTTTCTTGAGAGCTGGACCAAACATGTTTAACTTTGCAATGTAGTAGGAATATGTGATATATATAATCAAGGAAAAATGTACGATAATCTATCACCTAAATGCGATTTGATGTGTTGGGAAAAAATACAGCTATTTGATGGTGATTTTGTTATTGATCACTACTGCATTTTTCCTGGACATGCTGAAGTCTGGTTCTTGATATTATGATGAGCCTGATGTTATTTGGATGTACTGTGTCTATATTTGGTTTACACAGTTGTGCCATTTTGTGTTCTTTATAAGTTTCTTGTCATCTGTATCAAACTATTTGCTTTTTTTAAAAAATAATGAACTAGATAGGAGAGAAATTGAGGATCTTCCATTCCCAAATTGGCATTTGATTATTTTCCATCCTATGTCTCATTGATATTTCACAATTTTTTGTGTGTTTTGTTCACTTCATCCTTCTTATGGTCCTTTCCTGACATAATTTGTGCCACTGCCAAAAATGATCTCCTTTCTGATTGTAACATAGCAATTGATGTCCAGCATATTAAGAATTTTGTCATTAGGTAGTGTACTAGCTTATTAGCAATTAACAAAATGCTACTGTTCACCTGGACAGATCAACCTGTGGGCACTGTTGTGCCTCCCTTTGTACAATGCACCAATGACTTGTCCTAATACGCCAATCATATTGTATCATGTGATTGATTGCTTAGTAGTCCGAGCTGATGACTGTGAATTTAAATCTAAATGTCTAGTGTGAGCTGGTTTTGTTTCGTAAGTGTCCCCATTGAATGCTTGTTGGTTGAGTATTATATTATATATATGGCTACATAGGAGCAAACTATGTAAATGTGTGTTTTTGCTTTTTTTTTTTTTTTTTTGCTTTTGTATGTGTGGAGCTAAAACAACAGCCATTTTGGACGAGGGGCATTAAATTCATTCATACTACCTCTGCGTTTAAATATGAAAGAAGTCTATTTTACTCCCTCAAACTATTTCGTCGGATCATTTAATCCCATAAACTATTTTTAAGCTCATTTTACACCCCCTAATAGCATTTCTCCTTTTTTTTGTTTCTTTTTATATAAGCTATATTTTCAACTACAATTTTGTAGAGTCATGGATGACACCATTTGCATAACTGTTTGCATGAACTTTATAATCTCGATATTCAAATCAATCCTAGGTGCTTTCAGTCTAGGTAAACATTTAGAAAAAAATGAAAATGTTGAGACATAAGTTGTAATATATCTATCACCATCCTACCAAATTCCAGTGAAAATACAACTTATATGGGGTGAAACAAAAAAGAGAAATACTGTTAGGGAGTAAAGTGAATTGTTTTCAATACTTTGGCTGTGTAAAATGAGCCGAGAAATAATTTAGGGGGTAATTGCTCCTGGGAAATAGTTTGAGGGAGTAAAATGGACTTTTTGATTAAATATATGCTGTTGTTGACTTTTGGACATGACTTTGACCATTCATCTTATTAAAAAAGTTATGTAAATACTGCATGCGTTTCATATTATAAGTCGTTTTGACTTTTTCCAAAGTCAAACTTCATTAGCTTTGACCAAGTTTAAGAAAAATATATCAATATTTTCAGCATAAAACAAAGAAACTATCAAAATATATTAAATGTTAGATTTAATAAAACTAATTTGGTGCTATAAATGCTGCTATATTTTTCAATAAACTTGGTCAAATTTTCAAGAAGTTTGACCTTAAAAAAGTCAAAGCAACTTATAATATGGAAAGGAGGGAGTATCATTTGTCTTGTTGTGATTTGTTTTATCATCAAAGGTATTTTAAGCATGACTTGTATTTTTCCTAGTTAGAAATAAAATTTTGAATCAGACAAATGGTCAAACATCATGTCTAAAATATCGTATATTTAAAAATAGATAGAAGTAAGTATTAGTTCTGTACTTGTTTCACCTTTTCCAATTCCCTTTTACTTCATATCTTTTGGTAATATGTCCTAACGATTTGGTCCCATCGTCTAAATTTCCTAACACTAATCCAGAGAGGAAGTTAGTAATCACTAATCAATATATACTGCTAGTACTACATCAAAAAATTGTTTTAGAATGTTTCATGTTGATTTGGTAGCAAATGTTCAGCATTGAGCTGAGTGCACACTAGTTCGGTTGCCTATGATATGTTCCTATCCATTTTGTCATCGTAATTAATGTGCCTGCAATAATAATAGATTCAGTTTATAGCTTTACACCAAGGAGCTCTGTGGTCTGATCAAAATACACTGTTACAAAAGATGTATGGCAGTTTAAATATATGTTGATAGCAGCTGTATAAAAATATCCTTGCATGTGAGGCTGAAAACACAATTTTATGCTTCATAGTGTCCTGTGTTTGTTATATTGTCACAGTTGAGCTTTCTTGTTCTGTACAATAAAATTATGCATTTGTATTGCTCTTTATTGATTTTAATGCTGCCTATACATTTCATCAGATTGCATTGGTTCAGCATTTAATGCCAAAGGAGTTATGCAATGCCCCAACTGTCGCCAAATTGAGAGGGGGAATTGGCTCTATGCAAATGGTTCGCGTCCATCACAGGATGTAAGTAATGATGATTGGGGTCATGATGAAGACTTTTATGATGCTAATCAACCAGAGACATCAAGGAGTGTCTTTTTGGTAAGGGCAATAATTTTTTTTCAGTTTGCTTCCCTTCCTATATTTACCTTATCTGCTGCTACTTTTTTTTGCTCTATTTCTTATACCTTCTTTTCAATATGATTTACCCTGCATAACGGATTGTAAAGTAATAGATGCTTGATCTGTCTTCAGTAGTTCACCTTTTGTTTTTGGAGATAACTGGCGTGTTTTGCCTCTCTTTTATAAGCTTAGTTTTATTGAAGTTTGAAGACTATCTTAGATATGAAAAGCTGATGATTTAATCACAATTATTGCACTGTGTGCATTCTGTTTTTAGTTGAAATTACAGCAGATATCATGGGTTTAGTTAAATGTTATTTCTAGTCTAGCCCATGTTATGTTTCCAATCCTTATTTTGTATCACTATTTTACACAGCACATCCTAATTAATGATGATGTGTTATGGCTATTTGTGCAGCCATTCCGCTTCCAATGGTGTCCTATTGGCCGCTTAGCCCAACTTCCATCTGTATTTGAGTATGTTCTACCCTCCAAACTTTTGATTTATTGTTATTTCCGTTTTTTTACAGTAAATGAATAATTGATCACAATCTTATGACCTTCAATGGGTAGTTATAACTAAAATTGTTACCATTATCTTCATTCCTTTCTTTTGAAACTTACTGCAGTCCTAGAAACTTCCATGCAATGTCGTCCCTTCCTGCTTGTAATGAAAGTGGATTACGTCATTTGTGTAAAGCTCAATTATAACCATGCCACTGTTTCCAACTATAACATAATGTGTGCTCCTCACTGCCTCTTTAAGTGTTCATAATATGCCCACAAGTTATGGCTTAGAGATGTCAATAATGTGTGCTCCACCGCTCCTCACTGCCTCATTACAATGATGATTCCTGCTTTGTATGATAGAGTTGATATATCAGTTATTGTGCTGTTTACTCATGTTGCTTCTACTCTTTTCCAGTGAAGGAGAGTCAGCACCACCCGTAACCTGTAAGTTCTTGTTTAAATTAGAATTACTGATATACTTCCTCACGTATACCTTACTAGATTTGTTAAGTGAACATTCTTGTATTTTACAAATGCAGTTCATGATTTCATGGGACAGAACTTCACTTCTGAGCATTTGCCTGTATCAGCACCTGGGGCAACTCCTCCAGGCCCATATATCGCTTACTTTCAGCCTCTTCAATCATCGGCATCATCATCAAGTTCCCATGTCACTGAAAGAACTATGGATGGCACCACCTATCATGATCACTGGAACCCCCTACCTGGGCCATCAGATGGTCGACCATTGGCTACAGTGCATCCCATTGATTTCCATCATAACCACTGGACGCACCTGCCCAACTCCTATTCTCAACCCAACAGCAATAATGGTGTAGCTGAGCAGATGGCAATCCCTGTGGTACCAATGAGGGTTGGGGGCCTTGATAGTGATAGCCAACAGCGAGGATCTCTCCCCTCAGTTTATGGAAATGGGTAAGTTTCATTTCTTTCTAAGTTATGAATTGACTGCTTCCTTCAGTAAGACTTGCATGCTGCCTCTATCCAGAGAAAATGCCTACAGTTCTAAGATAAAATTTCTCTGGTAGCCTGTGACAATTGTAGCTAAATTTGATATTTCAGGTGTTATAAACAAAAGGTATCTCATTGACTTATTCTTTAGTGAATATTGTATGCAAACAGAATTAAGTTCCTTTGGACTAAATGTTGACAAAAAAAACCTAGAAGAATGATGATTTTTTTTAATCTTTTCTGCATTATGATTATATGGTAGTTACATTGCCAAAGCTCTGCTGTGGCTATTGGAAAAATAGTTACACCTATGCATGGTTCAGTACCTGCCTTTTTGTTTATTATTGTACGATATATCTTAACGCCTAAGACTCGTGTGTTTTTGGTTTCACAGATCTGGATCAAGGTCTAGAATTCCAAGTGTTCCTCCTATGGCACCACAATTCATGAGGCCGCATGGTAACATCAACGAACAATATCAGCAGAATTCGTCCAGCCTGTATGCTGCGCCGCAGCGTAGGACTGCCGTGCAGGCTGTCCAAGACAGCATGAACTTTACCCTGTTCCCGCAGGCTCCAACTGGCCCTAATTCAATGGAGACGGAGGATGCCGGAGGCAACCAGTTCTATGCCTGGGAGAGGGACCGCTTCGCCCCTTACCCGCTAATGCCCGTAGATTCTGAAGCAAACTGGTGGGGCAGCACGCCGCAATCCCATGGCGTGACGGATCATTCAGCTGCCCCCGGTAGGAGGCTATTTGGTCAATGGATCGGCGCCGGGAGGTCGCCACCGCCGCCTCCACCGCCACCAGCGGACAACTCGTCGTACCGACAGATGCACATCCCTCGGATGTAGCTTAGCCCCCCGACCGTCGCCTGAACCAACAAAGTTAAATATAAGAACCTGGAAAAAACCCCTGTTTGGCTGTAAGAAAGTAGGGTGAAGACACCGGTTGTATGTCGTCCTGTGTTTGCGTGGTAATTAGACTCCCGAGACAAATATGCAGGCAGGTGAAAAAAGAACACCAAGAACGCAAACCCAAACTACCCAAGGAGGAAAAACGTTTCAGCTTGGGTGTTTATGTGGAATTCGGTTCGGTGAAGCATCATAGTACATATTCCAAGCCATGTTGGGGCTTCTTTAAAGTTGTCGCGTGTTTATCGTTTGCTTGATTTTGCTGCATTGTGCATTTTTCAGTATATATGTCTCGATGTGGTGGGTGGTATTGGTTGCAGGATGTGGATAGTATTGCACCCAAGCAATCGACTTTGGAAGCCGCGGTACGTGCTACCCCTATTACTTCAGCCCTGCGGCGGTTACCCCTCTTTTTCGCCAGGGTAATTTCAATTCGCAGCCAAGTGTTAGATTCATCGTAGACTTATTTTCAGGATTTATTATTATTTATTTCTATATTCTTAGGTCGAATTCGAATTTATGTGCATTTTGTGGATGGATATGGTGTACAGTAATATAATGTCTTTTCTTTTTCATAATTTTCATAGCATTTTTAGACCGCGTGCAACAAACAAATGAGGGCATATGGGCTTCATATCTTTTTTGGCAAAATTGGATTTGTTCCCTATTATTTATGTGCGTACCGTCCAAAGATATCCATAGGCAATGACCAAAGCTTTGTACGTTCAGATTCCAAGTTTGAGTTCAAACTCAAATACCTCAGAACGAACTTCACCTATATTCAGCATTCATTTCATCTCTACCGTTTCCTATAACATCCTATTAAAACTCCAAGCTTTCACCAAAATTTAAATTTGAAACCTTTTTTTCAAAGAAATTTGACCCGAAAGAACTAATTAAATTTAAAGTTTCTTTTTGGGTGGGAGAAATATATTCAAAACCTGCATAACTCGTACTTTTAAAATATAAGCATTTCTATCACTATTTGTAGTGTTAGTCCTGATTTAACGAGAGATATCGTGCTCGATCTTTTATTACTGCTAAAACAGTATAGAAATTATTAGTATATTTTAGAGAGGAAGGAGTAGTGTATAGAAGTATGCTGGAACCAATAAAACAGAAGTCTACTTGATTGTGACATTTGCATTCACGACCACGGGTTAGTGGCTTGTGTTGTTACGACGGGGTTTATATTTGTCAGCCAAAATTTAAATTTTTAACTTTAAATTTGAAGATAATTTTAAAGTTTTTTATCGAAGTTTATTTTTCAGTATTTGCTTTTAGATCGCTAAGACCACGTATATAAAAGGTTAGTTCGTCGTTGCAGTTTGCTTTCCTGTGCTTACTGGAATGGCTTAGTTGGCGCTCAATGTTGAGGAAGTCCGCGGCACATCTCGCCACGGTGGCGCCCGAGATCGGTTGGCTTCGCCACGGCGCGCGTACGTGCATGGCAACGGATCGAGTTGGCGGTGCTCGCATGCTCCGTCTACGTGTTTATCCTGGCTTGGGGCGGCCCGTGTTTTTACGCAATACTAGGAAAAGCATTATCGCAAGCGATCAAAAAGGGTCTTCGCAGGCAGGGCGGCCGTCCGCCTGTAAGCCAACGATTATGAAGATCGCCGATCTTCGCAGGCGGGTGGCCGTCCGCCTGTAAGCCAACGATTATGAAGATCGCCGATCTTCGCAGGCGGGCGGCCGTCCGCCTGTAAGCCAACGATTATGAAGATCGCCGATCTTCGCAGGCGGGTCCACCTGTGAAGATAGTTTTCGCAGGCGGACATTGGCTAGTCCAGTCCGCCTGCGAAAATAGGAATCGATCGCCTGCAAAAAAAAAAAACTTCCGCCTGCGAAGATAGGTAGAAAATATTGAAATTTAATAATAATTTGCCCGTAAATTACTTTTAAATTATTTAATAGAAATTCTTGCAGGTAGATTATTATGTACATATATTGGAAGATTATCAAGCATTTGGTACTCATAAATGTACATATATTACATTTGTTGCCAATATATATATATTACAATATGTTTTTATATTATCACTTCAAATACGCCATCTAGTTAATACATTATGTTATAGCACTGTTCCACTCCCGAAGATCCTTGAATTCGTCACTTGTGGCTAGGGCACCCTCTGGGTTGAAGAAATCTCCTTTCACATGACAGCAATCATAGTGGATGAAGTGGCACAGATCACGCTGGACATTTTTAATGCATGTATCGTCAAAGCTTGTTCGACATTCTAATCTTGGCAACTGCATACATTGAAGATAAACAATATATTAGTATCATAAATATATGAAGCTGTCTAGCACATAGTATAGAGACTTACATCCTCCGCGTTAGTCCTATATCTCCCATTAACTCTAAGGAATTCGCAAGCGTAATACCCGCAAAGGACCGTCTCTCGTGGTTGCTTGTGACACTTCAGGACATATCATAAAAGATAGTTAAAATTTGCAATTAGTGAAACAATCGGTATACATTAAGTGAGTGGAGTATTACCGGCCAATAGGTACGTACTAGCAGCTTCTCCCTTGTTCGGGTCTGTTCTCCACCCTTGAACTTGTAGTACTGGTACGCACTGTATGGATGTCGTACCGTTTCACATTAAGGAAGATATTTATTTATAATACATTCATATAAAAATGCAGGAGTCATAATCACTTACAGTAATTGTAAGATTGTTAGAAATTCTTTGTATGACTGGTGTTTGTAATCGATAGGGTCCAAGACTACTACGGTTCCATCTTTAGGGTGGATGAGTAAACAGATATAAAGATCGCTACATATTAACAACAACATATTTAGTTAGTACCAGCTAAAATTAGACATATGTGCAGAAGATAAATGTACCCAACTTACTTAAAATTATAAGCGGCCATGACGACTCTCTTATTTTGAAAGTGCAAGAAGGCTCGTCCAATGTACTGTGCAACAGTAATCAATTTCTCCTTGTGCAAGCCCTTTTTGTATTCAGCTATCTCTTTTGGAGTCTTGCCCTTCAGCTGGTCTGACCCTGGTGCTAGCCTCACGGTATGTTGTGTTTGGCAAATCCGAGTTGGATCCAAGAAGCCGATAGGTTCTTTTGTCTTCTTAGCATCCATGTATTGCATCCTATAGAAGTTTGTTAGTAACAATCACATGGATTTGTATTGTACATATTTTTCATATAATTAATTAAAACTCATATTCACATGCACCAAACACCGACGTAGTTGACGTCCATCTTATCCCGACGATATATGGCGTGGAGATCTGAGAAATCTAGCCATACGTAACCTTCTTCGCCGAAACAATCTGCCGGTGATCGGGCTGTTATATTGCCCAAGCCTTTCTTGCTGGCCTGCATGTAGAAGGTATGTAACCTTTTCATCTCCCATAGTCCTTTGTTCAGTGCCCATTCCAGCAAGAGTGCTTTCCCATGTTCGTACTCAGCCGCGCAATCATCGGTTGCGAAGTATGTTGGCCCGACTAGTTCAGCGGCCTTATAGGGGTCATCATCTCTGAGCTTGGCATGTTCCTTACCCCCTCTGAAGACGGTTACCATGAACTTCTCCTTGTTCTCATCTTTGGACTTGGAGTCGTGGCTCCTAAACACTCTAGACACCTCAGAACTGGTAGAGGCCTTCTCAGGGACCGTGGTCTCTTGCACCTCGGGGTCTTTCGCAGGAGAATGGTCTTCAAATATTTCTGGCTCTGTACCGTCCCATTCCAATCCTGGTACTTCTTCTATTTCTGACCCGACTGATGCCACAAATTGCACCTCTGGTTCTGCCACTGTAATCTCCATGGGCACTTCCGGCACTGGAATCTCCATGGCTGCCTCAGGCACTGCAATCTCCGATGGCACTTCCGGCACATGATTTTTCTTTTGCATCTCGGGTTCCTCCGCCTTATCAGTCACCTTCCTCTTAGAAGGTCTCGGAGGTTTTCCCAACCCCAGTTTTGGCACCACAGGTTTTTGCGTGGCGTCAGTGCCCAATCCAAAGGATATGTCATTCTTGTGCCAGAGAATTACAAGATCGACCGCAACCCCAAGTACGGATACACCATCTGTAGTCGGGAAGTCAATGTCGTAGGACTCAAACCCTTCGTGGACCACTTGCGGCTGCACCTTGGCATACGCATCGGGTATGAAATCTTCGTTGTATGTTCTCCCAGGGATAGCAATGGCTGTAGCGGCCTCAAGAGTTTTCCCGGAGCGTCCAATGGGAACGTGCAATCTGCAGGGTGTATTCTCCTTGAGGTCATCGAAGGGGTAATCTGGCTCAGGTTCTTTGGTTTCGGGGCGAGGCAAAATCATGTGCTTGACGCAGAAATCCATCATTTGCCTTTCAAACTCTACAGCCCCTTTATCTCTAAGTTTATCCTTGTACGCTTCACGCTTCTTGTGGGGGTCATGTTTGAACCCTTCCTTCCAACTCATCTTGCTCGACACACCTCGAACCCTTCCCCCATGCTCAGGAGTACCCAGCGCCGTACTTAGCACATCTTTCTTCCTCTTAGGCTTGAAAAATCCTTTCTTCTGTGAACTTGATAAATTCTCCATTTTATTGGCAACGCTCTGCAGCTCCGGATCTTCAAACGATACTTTTCCTTCATCCGTGATTTTAGGAGTTCTAGCTCTTACCCAGTTACTTGATCTCTGTGTCCATTCCTCCATTGGTACCGATTGCCCCTTCTTCCTCATTTCCTCCTCCTCTTTTGTCCACCGCTCCACCTTTGGTGCGTATCCTGCGGAGCCTAAGCGATGAGGAAATTTGTTCTTCTTGACCAACTCTGCATACTTTTGGCTCCTTTGAATTTCTTCCGAGGAGTTCTTCAACGTTAGAAAGTCGTCCCGCTGATTCGGGGTTATGTTGGCATACATCGAAAACGGTGTGCGTCCCATCTTCACAAATTTCATGTTCAAGGTGGTTTTCCAACCACGCCAAGACTTGGCCATTGTTTGCAGTGCACAATTCCTCACTGCTGCCTCTGATCCATCCGGGAACTGGAAGATTTTCTTCAACTCTTTCCATAGGACTTCCTTATTCCCATTCGATACATGATCCTAGTCCATGACTGTAATGGGGATCTTTTCCCTTACTATTATACCACACCGTGAACTGAATTTTGCACGTGCTGTCTCAAGGGCGAGCAGCTCTCCTTTTGGCGAAACATGGGTAACAACATGGAACCCTTCATCCTTTCTATTCACGCTTCTCTCGCCCTTCCTTTTCTTCGCCTTAGCTGACCATTCGCTTTTCTTCG